ACCAACTGCAGATTCAGATCTCTGGGTCTGCTTGAAAACACACGGGAGCCCAGGATCGTAAGGAACTGGAGAGGTTTTCACTACAGGGCGCATTTCACTACATGGCTGACTGTGCAGTTCAAGTCCTGGACCTGAAAGTTTGAGGAACATGCAGAGTGTGTGCATGCATACCCAGAATCCAAAAGGAGGGAGAAACAGAGATGATCATTTCCCCATGGAGGGTGCTTTTTACCTCTTTCTCTCTCTCTCTCTCTCTCTTTCTCTCTGGTGAGTACACATGCTCTCTGACAAAAGTTTTAAATAATAATAATAAAATTTTAAAGAGCATTTACTATGTTAGTAGCACTGTATCTTTATGAAGAAATATGGCCATATACAGACAGATACATACATGCATACATATGTACATACAATAATGTTCTAGTGCTTTTATTTTGGGAGAGATTGGTGAGAGGAGTGTTATATATTTTACTTTTTAAATTCCATTTGTTGTTATTATTTCTTAATTTGACCAGAAGACAAAGAGAAAAGGAAAGCGAGAAAAGCAAGCCACCAGGTTCAGGACTCAAACTGCATTCAGCCACATGGAAATCCAGCTCCTTTAATTACCACACCACCTGCCAGCCCCCTGTATATTTTAAATTTTTAAACATAATTCTTTCTCTCTTCCTTTCTATTATTTTATGTTTTGTTTTGTTTAAACTTTGCTATAGGGCATGTGTACTCACCAGAAAGAGACAGAGAGAGAGGGGCAAAGTGAGAAAGCAAGTCACCAGGTCCAGAGAAAGCAAGCTGCTAGGTTCTAACTGAACCCTGGTCAGCCATGTGGAAGTCCAGGACCCTAGCAACCACATCACCTGCTGGCCCCAATATATATTTTAATTTTAATAGATGTTCTTAGACTGTTTTCCAAAAAGACTGTAATAGAAAAATTTACATTTCTACTAGCAATTTAGAGATTGCCCTTTCCCTGCTCAATAATATATCTTATTATATTTTAAAATTTCTCCCCATATGATAGATATAAAATAGTATCTTGGTACTACTTGAATTTGCATTTCTTTAACCTTTAGAGAGTATGAGTATCTTTTTCTTGGCTTTTGGTCATGTCAATTTGTTCATTTGTAAATTGCCTATTTATGACCTTTGCTCATTTTTTTCTATTGAGTCCCTTTATCCACTTGTAAATTTATAAAATTTCTGTATGATCTTTAGATCAGTCTTCTGTTTGTCTTCTAAGTTGTAGATATTCCTTCCATTTCTTCTATTTTTGACTCTTGATTTATTCCTTTATCTTGTTTACAGCATCTTTTTTTTTTCCTTTTTGGAGAGGTTTTTACTATAGGGTGCGTGCACTCACCAGAAAGACAGAGAGAAATAGAAAGCGAGAAATCACTCCCTAGGGGGATGGCCACCCGAAATCCCTTCTCCTCCATTCTCCTCTTGGGATCTTGGGCATGCACGCACACACACTCAGCATGAATTTAAGCCGCCAGGTCTGGGACTCAAACCACAGTTGACTGCATGGGAGTCCAGCAACATAGCCACTATGCCAACTGCTGGTCCCTGTAGCATCTTTTTTTAAAAAGAATTATTTATTTTATTTATTCATTTATTTATTTTAATTTGATCAGAGACAGAGAGGGAAAGTGAGAAAGCAAGCCACCAGGTCCAGGACTCGAACTGTGGTTGACCATGTGGGAGTGTCCAGCACCTTAACCACCACGCCACCTGCTGGTCCCAATACCATGCATATTTTAAGTCTTAGTTAAGATTTCTTTTTCCTTTAAATAGTACATGTAATTTTTTGTATTTATTTTTGGAGGATTTTTATTGTTTTTCTTTTTAGTTTTTGATATAGGGTGTGTGTACTCACCAGAGAAAGAGGGAGAAAGAGAGAAAGGGAAAGTGAGAAAGCACCCCCCCCCAGGAGGTGGCCACACTGCATCCCTTCTCCTCCAGTGTCCTCTTAGGCACATAGGCAGATATACCCATAGTGATTTTCAAACCACACAGTCAACTATGTAGGATCTGGTGCCTTAACCTCCATGCCATGTGCTAGCCCTATTATTTTGGGTTTTAAAGCCCACTCCCTTATCCAGCTGGAATTTATTTTTGTATATGGTGTAAGATTGTATCCAATTTTTCTCACATGACTATTCATTTGTGCTAGCATCCTTTATTTTTTTCCCACTGATTTGAAATATTTATGAGTTTTCTATTTTTTTCTAAGAATTTGTCTGTTTCTATGCCATTACCATATTGATTTAATTACACTTTGTTCTACATGTAAATACATACAAACACGCATACGTGCACACACAGGGTAGTGAAGGTATGCTGATGTGGCTGGGTGAGTTTGACTATATTTAGAATTGCTTCTTGATGTTGAGTCTCTTATCAAAATGGGATTAAATAAAACATCCAATTGATAGCCACCTATCAATAACTATTCCTGATATTGCCAAATTAGATTTTATATTTGAAAAATACTGAAAAGAGGGGGCCAGCACATGGCATGATAGTTAAGGTGCCTGGACTCCCACATGGCCAACCATGACTCGAGTTCCGGACATAGTAGGTTGAAACTCAAACTGGGTGCATGAGTGTATGTGCCCAAAATCCCCAGAGGAGAATGGAGAAGAGATTGCAGAATGGCCATTCCTCCTGGGGGAGTGATTTCTCACTTTCTGTCTCTCGGGAAAGTACACACATACTGTAGCCAAAAAAACTCTCAAAAAAAAAAAAAAAGAGAAAAAGTTAAGTATATACTGTTGGGTTGTTGGAAACAACATGACATATTTTTTCTACATTTTTCTGTGCAGAAATGAGTCATGGCTTTTCCAGAATTTTCAAGATCAAATCATTTTTACAGATGAGAAAATGTATACCTGTTTTAAGTGTTATTTGCCCGATAGTACGTAACTACTAAGGTGGTAAAGTAGGATTAAAACATTAAAGCTCTTCCCACTGTGCCAAAATGAATTGTATGATGAAAATACTTTGAAAACTAAAGACGTATACAAATGGTATGGTGGTTGTGTCATGATCATCTCATCAGCAGTATCTCTAAGTCTTGCTTAAAAACAGTGATGGGGATGGGAACCAGCAGTTAGCTTAATGGCTATGTTACTGTACTCCCACGTAGTCAACTGCGGTTTGCATCCTGGACCTGGTGGCTTAAAACTCACGCCGGGCACATGTGCGTGCGTGCCCAAGATCCTGAGAGGAGAATGGAGGAGAAGGGATTGCGGCGTGACCATCCCCCCTGGGGGGTGATTTCTCGCTTTCTGTCTCTCTGTCTCTCTCTGTCTGTCTGGTGAGCGCACGCGCCCTGTAGTGAAAACCTCTCCCCCCCCCAAAAAAAAAACAGTGATGGGGCCAGAAGCGGTATGGTGATTAAGGCACCGTACTTCCACATGGCTGACTGCAGTTCAAGTCCTAGACCTGGTGGCTTGAAACTTAGACCAGGCATGTGTGTGTGTGACCAAAATCTCGAGAGGAGATTGGAGGAAAGGGGATCGGGGATTCTGTGGTGTGACCATCCCCCCAGGGGGTGATTTCTTACTTCCTCTCTTTTTCTAGCTCCCTCTCTCTCACACGCCCTGTAACAAACATCCCTCTTTAAAAAAAAAAAAATGCGGTGATTAATGTACAGTAAAACTGAGAACTAGTTATTGATAATACAGAAATTTTATTTTAATAAAAACAATATTCACATGTTTTTTCAAGATAGTATCTATGAATCAAATGTTAGAAGTTCTTTTTATTCTTAATGATCTCAATATTTGATTCTTTTAAACATTTTTTTAGAACAGAAGAAAGTTAAAGTTAAAAAACCAAAACCCGAATTTCCAGTATACACACCTTTAGAGAATACATATATTCAATCTTATGATCACGGAACTTCTATAGAAGAAATTGAGGAACAAATGGATGATTGGCTGGAAAACAGAAACAGAACGCAGAAAAAACAGGTAAGTAACTTTTAAAAACTTGTTTTCATTGCATAAAGCACGTACAGAAAAGTACAGAAAATACAGATAAGCAGCCCAGTGAATGATCATAAGGAGATCCTAACCATCGCTAAGATCAAGAGCTGCAACATTGGGGGTGTCCAGAAACCTCCCCCATGCTTCCTCCTGGTCACTGCCTTCCTTTTCCTCCACACAGATGAGGGCTGTCCTGACATTTTTTACCATAAATAATTTGGCCTTCTTTTTAAAGTTTATGAATAAAATAATTCCATATGTACTCCTTTGCATCCGATTTCCTATATTCAGTATATTTGCGAGATTTGTCCAGAATTGTGTGTAGCAATAGTTGATTTTTTATTACTATATAGTAGTCCATTTATATAGTACAATTTAGGACCAGCCCCATAGCACAGTGGTTAAGGCCTGTGCATAGGGAGCCAGATTCCACATGGCCTACTAGGGTTCAAATCCTGCCTTCACCTTTTTACTTCCTGCTTCTGTAGAGCCTTGATGTAGCTGCATGTGTGAGCTTAGATCCTTCTCAGTTCTTTTCTGAGGATATGCAGAACATGCACATATCCTCCTAGGGGCCCAGGAATTTTGGAGCATTTTATTCCTCAGTCTTCCCTCCCAACCTTTTTGGTTAGTCTATTGTTTTTCCCCAGTCGTTTTGTATGGAATCAAGTAGCAGGGAATAAGGCATTCTATAAATGTTGTCCACAAATACCTTCAGGGAAGCAGCTTTAGCATAAAGCTATTCTAGGTGAGATAAAATGAAAGTGAACCTTTTGAACCTGTCTTTCTGGAGCCACTAAGATAGATCAGAACAAATAATCACTATTCTTTGCAAATTTATTTGTTTTGGTTTTTCCAGTATCAGGAAAATGGATTGTTGTTTTCATAGCTACTGCTGAGCTAAGAAAGAAGGACAGGGACAAGTTAAGGTGTCAGAGTTTCTGTTCTTGTAGAGAATCAGCTGTTTTGTGAACACATCTTACCTGTAGTATTGCAGGCTTTGGTTACTTTCCAGAGTTGAGGGAAAAATTCGGATAGATTTTGCCTGTTTTGTTGTTGTTGCTTTTATGGACAGTAGAATTTAGAGATCTTTACTTTGCTGACTTCATAGACATCAGCCTAGAGTTCTATTTTTTTTCTTTTTTTGTAATTGCCAGGTGAACTCAGGATCCAAACCCACTAGACCCTGTGGCTGCCAGCACTGCAGACCAGCACAGTAGCCTGTGCCCCCATGGCTGGGCCTGTTCTATAGTTTTTTGAAATGAGAAATTAGGCTATTCCTTTGAGAGCTTTCTTTTCCTTTTTTTTTAATAAATTGCCAGAGTGTGTCCATGCTTTCCAGAGAGAGAAAGAAGCAGAGAGGAAGTACCTCCAGTGGGGTGTGGTTATACTACAGTCTCTTCTCCTTTCCTCCATTCTGTTGGGATTCGGGGCACACATGCACGTGTAGCCAGCATTTTTCTTAAACCACCAGGGCTGGGATTCAAATCACAATTGGCCGGAAGGGATCCAGCTCCCTATGCATAGGGTTTTACCACTGTGCTGACCCATGAACTTTCTGAGTGTTAATGCTATACATTTTTTTCTGAGCACTATTTAAATGTATATTTTATGTTTATATTATTTGTATTTTAGCTATATCCCACAAATGTTAATGTAATTTTTCGATTTTCATGTAGGTAATTGCATTCTAATTTCTCCCTTCTTTGATGTTTAGTTTCTTCATAGATGGGTATATTGTAGATATCTTTCTGATATTGCCAGCCATTTGCGTATAGTTTTTATTTTTAGTGTTGTTACAGTTTTTGACATTTTGGATGAGTGTTTAATTCACTTATATTTAGTATTACTACTGATGTTTGGGGGTTTTAATATATCTTAGTATTTGCCTTCTCTCTATTCCTTTTGTTTCATATTGGTTGTTATTTCTTCTCTAGTTTTCTTTTGGATTACTTAAATTTTAGTATTCCATCTCTCCCTTTATAAATGTGGTGTAGTTATATGCTTTTTCATTGTTCTTTTAGTGGATAATCTAGAGTATACAGTATGCATCTTGATTTGTTATGGTCTTGCGTGAATTTCTTTGCCGCTTCTGAGAAAAAGCTTAGATTTTAGACCCTTTAGCCCCTTTATTCATCTATCTTCCTCCTGCCTTCTGTGTCGGGAATCATGGTCCCCAACATTTATGTTAAAGTACTAGCCTCCAGTACCTCAGAATGTGACTTTATTTGGAAACAGGATCATACCGATGTAGTAAAATGAGGTCCTACTAGAGGATTTGTTTGTAGTACTGTGGGGTTAAGCAGCATTTGCTTTCTCTGTTTCAGATTCTACAATGTTTTCTCATTAGCATTTTTACTTAGGCTGTTTTGTAATTAAATTTACCATAGACCTGTATATGCATCAGACTCTCAATTAGTCCTTGTTCAATTAATCAGGTGTTCACAGTTGTTTATCATGATGACATAATAAAAGGGCATAATAATGAGACGATGGAGGGAAAAAAATACTAGACCTTTAGGTTGGGAGACCTGAATTCTTTGAGGATCACCATTTATTACCTATATAGTTTGGATTTCCGCTTTCTTATCATTTACAACTTTATAGAAGGTATGAAATTATCTGTTTTTCTATCTCATATATAACATTTTAGGGGCCAGCAGGTAGCATAGTGACTAAGCACTGGATACCCACACAGTTGACTGCAGTTCGAGTCTCGGTCCCGGCAGCTTGCTTTCACACTTTCCCTTTCTCTCTCTCTCTCTCTCTCTCTCTCTCTCTCTCTGGTCAAATTTTAAAAACAAACAAATTAATGATAAATAAAATTCAATAAGTAATTCTTTTAGAAAATTTATAAGCTGAGAAACTATAATGCAGCCATGGGCTTTCCCCTGCTATCATTTTCTGTGCTTTCATCTATATTTAAATTTTAGTTTTGGGACCAACAGTTAGCGTAATGGCTATGTCACTGAACTCTCATGTAGTCAACTGCAGTTTGAGTCCCGGACCGGGTGGCTTAAACTCACTCCGGGCGCGTGTGCATGCATGCCCAAGATCCCAAGAGGAGAATGGAGGAGAAGGGATTGCGGCGTGGCCATCCCCCCTGGGAGGCGTGATATCTTGTTTTCTGTCTCTCTGTCTCTGTCTTTCTGGCGAGTGCACGCGCCCTATAGCAAAAATCTCTCCAAAATAAAAATTTTATTTTTATCCCTTGTTATTAGTAGAAACAAAGTGAAGATAAATATGTATCCCAGTTACTCTTTCTACTATCTGTACTAAGAAGTTTGACTATTTCTCCAAGAGTTTTTCTAGTAATAACCTCCCTAACTAGTTTTTTTTCCCCCCAATTTGTCAGAGTGAGTTTGCCAGATAGAAAGAGAGAAACGGAGGGGGGAGGGGGGGAAGAATGGACTTCCCGGTGGGGCTTGATCACACCGCAATCCCTTCTCCTCTGTTTCTCCACCTCATGGAATTTTGGGAAGGTCAGACACATCCCCCCACTGTGGTTTTTTTTTTGGAGATATCTTTCTGAACAGATGTCAAGTAATTTTTTGTGTGAAAAAGAAATCATTTCAATTTATGATTATGAAAGCAAAGTTTCAATGTTATTAGTTAAACCAAAACAAATAATTTTTCACCATAAATATTATAGCATATAAACTCCTTTAAAATAAAATATTTCCTCCTTTTTCCCCCTGGTGACCTAGTGGTAATGTTCTACAGCGTTTTATGAAACCTGGATTTCATTCCCGTACTCGTTATCTCTCTCCCTGGGGCCACCATGAATAAAATAAGAAAGAAAATCACTATCCTGCATCCTTACTGCCATGGGGCTGTCCCCTTGTCAGATTTCATAAGCCAACCTAGATGGGCCTGGTTGCTGTGAGGACGGAGGACCTCAAAGAGAACAGCCGTGGAACACACCGCTTCCTGCAGCCAGTATTCATCTGGCGTGAAACCTCGTCTTCTAGTCATTAGTGTACTTTCCTCTACTATTTAGTTGACTTGCTTTCTCTAGAAAAGAAAAGTCTTTAAATATAAATGCACTTCCAGTAATTTGAATTGGTGCATTTATTTATTTATTTTACCTGTTCAAATGTGAAAGATTGTTTAGTTTGAAAGGTATTTGTTTATATTCTTAAGGGAACAGTATCCCACTAACTTTTTTATTGTATTAGAAACAGACATTTTCAGAGTCTTGGCTCTATTTTTTTTTTAATCTCTATAATGTGTCCGTCCTCTATTTCTGTTTGGAGAGATGTTGTTACCCTTGTCTTACAAATGATACAACACAACGCATAAAGTTATTTTAAAAATATATATAATGTAACTGTGTAAGGATCCCAAATTACAATTATTTCTGTTCCTTTTAAAACCTAGATTATTGGGCCAGCCGGTGGCTGGCTGGTGGTTAAGGTGCTGGATCCCACATGGCCTACTCTGAGGTTCAAGTCTCAAACTTGGCAGCTTGAAAAACACACCAGGCACGCTTGTGCGTGTGCCCAAAGTTCTGAGAGGAGAAAGGAGAAAGGATTGAGATGTGGCCATCCTCCCTGGGGTGTGATTTTTCACTTTACCTCTCTCTCTCTCTCTCTCTCTCTCTTTCTCTCTCTCCCTCCCTCTCTCTCCCCCTCTCCCTCTCCCTCTCCCTCTCGCTCTCTCTCCTCCCCCCCCCCCCCCTTCCCTTCCTCTCTCCAAGGATCACAAGCGGCATGTGGCAAAAAAAAAAAAAGCCTAGATTGTCTGTGTACTCTAAATTTTAAATTTAAAGCAGTCTCAAATGCCGACCATTTTATTTAGATATATGTGGATTTATAAATACCTACATAAAATGTATAATGCATATAATTCAGTGAGATATACACTAATGTTTTACTCGTGCATAGGCGTGATCTTCCTCCCAGAGTGTGCACAAAACACACCTTTCCTAAGTACTGACGGTACAGATACACGCATATACGTGTGTGTGCGCACTGATACCTACA